TATATATATATATATATTGATGACGTGCATATTTAAATAATTTCATTCAAATTAAATGATTAAATTTTCTAAATTCCTTCGTTAAAAAATCTTTTTCTCCTTTTAAAATGTATTTTAGAATAAATTATAGTACATAAAGACAACTGCTGTGGTATTTCATAACAACATACTGTGCGAAATTGGGAAAATACATCTTTTATAGAAGCCACACGTAAAAAAAAATATGATGACGTTAGACTTTTACAGACAACATTACACTTGGCTTGCTGACTAGATAAAATTGTCATCATATTTAGGACAACGATGGCTGGTTAAAGCATTCGATCATTTTAAAACTATTTTGAAAGAAAATTTTTTCACAGACAATCTATTAAACTTAAAATTCAAGCCCATGCAAAATTTCAGCTCAATTTCTGAATGGCCATTGGGGTACATTTCTTGTAACATGATAATTTTTAATATAACGTAAGTATAATTAATACTGCCTTGTTTTACGTAGTCAACATTATGCTAATTTTTTTTGATGAAAATGAATCAACTCAATGTGTTTATAAAGCTATATCAGTCAATAAGTGGTGAATTTTTTACGACTTCCTGTCATGCAAACTACTTTAACTAACACAAAAATATTTATCATAATTTCATAGATATGTAAATATTCGTACTGAATTTTAATGATTTTAAATTCTCAAAAGTTTTCAAAATTTCTAAGGATGGGACAGTTTTAAGTTCACTCCATCATAATCTACAATTGAAACTTAACTAAATTTATTGGTTTTTCTGAAATTAACAGCGTAATTGAATTATCGTAATATATGGGGGGGGGCATATTGGAATTTCCGGAAGAGATCCGAAATTCGGCAAATTCCGAAATTTCGTCGGTCCCGTGAGTGCCGGATTTTGGATCCTATACTGTATTCACTTTTGTCGCTAAATCGTTATTATGGGTGCGGCGTTTACAACATGTGCGGCGTTTAAAATGATTTTTTTCTTTTGAGTCTCATTATCGCGAGTGCGGCGTTTACGATAGGTGCGGCGTTTCTTCCATAAATTACGGTAATTATAATTATGACATTTTTAGTGAAAATTTAATGGTTAATCTTTGTGCCATTCATTGATCTAAAAAAACAGTAACAGTTCAGTTTTTTCTGAGTAAACTCATAGAATATAATTGATTCTTTTCTTTACAGGGATAACATGTTTGCAAGTGTAAAATTACGGAAAGTGGTCACAAATGATAGATCCGCTCCAATGATATCATAACTAAGTAGAAAATATTAAGTATGGAACTAAATATAAATCCCACCTTTCAAAGGACTCGGACATCTTCCTCAACGCATGGCTGGTCATCAGTTCAATCTCTTATCAGCAAAAACTGTCGTTTTATTTTATTGTTATCATTATGTTTTGTGAGACAGGTTCAGTTTCAGAAGGTTTTTGATGGTTTTCACTAGTACTTTTTTGGGATAACAGAAAAGAAATCTTTGACAACTAACACAATTGATATGTAAGTATCGTTGAGCAATTCCATCACATTTATTACGTCCGTAAAAGTCAGTTCTTAATTTTTTAAGAATTTTTAAATTCATCAAAGTTTTAAAAAAAAATGCTAAATGTTAGTAAAACCAAGAGTTATTTTGGCAAGAACATCTTAAACTACTTAACATTTTCTGTTTGCATACTAATTCTGCAGATCTTATGTCAGCAATGATGTAATTGCTCTGTTTTATGCAGTTGTAAGAAGAAATTTACATTACAATAAAGAAGTGATTATTGTGCTACAAAGAAGTATTCTAATCAGGTACTACATTTGAAATAGATGGGGGGGGAGAGTATTATATGCACTTTTTACAAATTTGCCAGAAAAACATTGCAATCATTATTTAGAACATATCATTAGAACATTTTTTATTGTACGGTTATCTTTATTTTGAAGAAAACGTGTACGAATTTGAATATACACTTTTTTGTAATCTTTCATTTTTAAAAATTATGTTTTTGTCTATACTAGTCCCATCAGACGAGCCTAGTGCAAATATGTGATAGGGCTGACTTGGGATGTGCAGACAAGTCATAAAACTAATAATGTAAACTAGTGTTACTCATAAACAAGTAATTAAAACAAAAGTGGGACTCATTTAATATTTACGTTTAATATTTAGTATGGTTTTCTTTATATACTGTTTAGAAACATCTTTCTTCAAAATGCAAGTTAAAATTTCTTTGCCGCACAATTTTTTCTAGGGAAAAAAAACTAGCTTGTTTTATACGTCGAAATTTAATCAACAGGTGATATCAGTGTAATTAGCAACAAAATAAATACGAAAGCATTTAGTATATATATTTATGTTTATAAGTGCATCAAACAACATGTTTTTTTAAATGTAGGATGATTTTGTATTTAAATGAAAATATACTTATCACAAACTCACGCACTAACTAAATAATTCCATCCGTTTCTTAAATTTTTTTTTGTCTTACTCATGTTGTATCTGCTGTTTTTTTCCTGTTATTTGTATGTTTTTTTTCCTGTTATTTATATTATTTTTCCCTGTTATTTCTATTGTTTGTGTCATTTATATTGTTTATTTTAAATATTAAGTCTACATAAAGTACGTTGTTTTTTAGGCACATTCCCGAGTTATATTTTAAAAATTTAATCTAATTTGGTGCACAATTGCTACAATTTGCAAAATTAAGACCCATAAATATTTAGACCTAGTATATAAAATGCTCCATAATAAAAGCTACGTACTAAGGGGCACTAAAAAAAATTTTGCGCAAAATTATAACTTTGTGAAAAATAAAAATTTTCTACTTGGATTGCGAAAAGGTGGTTAATGGATAAACAAAACCGCTTAGTATGAAATGACCTCTTCATTTTTGCTATTTCCTGTTTTTAATATTTTTACTGTTTCCTATTATTATTTTCAAGCCTATTAATTAATTTACATTTTTATATATATATATATATATATATAT